CTTTATGCAGTTTTTGTATAAAGTATTTAAAAAAATGTCATATTTGAAGATTTATTTATCATGAATATTTATCTGGAAACTGTATAATAAATATTTGACTTACAGTATTGGCGTTCATCCAAAACGAATAATATTTAATTGCATAGCAAATGAAGAAAAATGCGGAAGACAGAACATTGATAATGAGATCTGCAGTGCATTTTGAAGTTAAAAATGTTGTAAACTGCAAATAAGTAATTCTGTTGAAAATTTCCTATTAAATGAATAATTCCTTAGCGTGATTAATAAATTTCGAATTCTAGTCTGTTTCTTATGAATAATGACTTAATACCACCTGAAATACAATAAAAGTTGTTAAAATAGTGAAAAGTACGATAAATTGAATTTGAGCAAGTTTCGATCTCTGGTGAGGCCATAAACCAATCGCTAGCAAAAGAAATCTATTAAGTCTGAAGTGTTTCGTTTCAAGGCAAATCATCTTTGTCAATACTGAAATACATTTGACCGTGAAAAATAAGAAATTGTCTATTCTCTTTTTCCGATTCTATTAATCTAACAATAAGTTGAAAATTTGTAACTTCAATTTGACTTAATATATAAAACGAAATGCAATAATGTCACGAGATTAAAATATTTATAATTCATCACTGTTTTCTAAGGAAAACATGATTAAACGATCGATTTAATTACATTGAAAGAAATTTAACAGATGTTTAACTATACCCCATGGAAAAATATTCGCATAGAGGAACTCGATACATGGCCGCGCAAGCGCACTCATCGCTTTTTATTGTAATATTCGTTTCATTCTAGTGCGTACACTCACAAGGTACGTTTGATCTTTTAAAGTAGTGTTGGTTAAGATTAAATTTAATTTTAAATACGAACAAAATGTGTTTATTCTTAAAGTATTGAAATTTACATTTTATTAAAATTTTATGTTGGTGTAACGCTTTGTATTTATATTTTACATAAATTTTTGTATAACAGTATCCACTGTGGCGTTATAATGAAAGCGTTATAATAAAAGCGTTATAAATAAAAGTTTCTGATAATACTCTATCAGAAAAAATTAATTAAATTTACATTTCTAATAGTTTGTGTAACACATTGAAAGTGAGTTTATCTTCGTATCAAACCAGAAAAGAGAAAATGTATGTATATATATGTGTGTGTATGTGTATGTGCTTGTGTGTGTGTGTGTACACAATATATATATATATATATATA